AAAAAAAAAAGATCCACAAGAAAAACCAGCTACAAACCCACTAATACGCCATAAAAGTGATAATCTAAAGCTCCTTAAATGTTAATACAATTTATATCCACAATCTACCCCAAAAATCCCATTTTAAAAGAATAAATAAAAATTTCTCATGAAATATCATAATTTTGATTGCATTTAAATTTTATCATAGTGGTGCCATCTATTGAAAAATAACCCTTCTTTAAAAAGTATTGATACAAAAAAAAACTCCAATAAATTCCTATTTATTACAATTCCTATCTTTTAAAGAGGAGACTCTATGGGAAAAAATCTGAAATTGAAAAAAAATTTATAGAAAGTTATTAGATCTAGAGAAAACTGAGAGAAGGTTGCAAAAGAGTTACAAATGTGATTTTTTTTTTCAGATATAAATAAATAAGTTCCAATATAACAAATATAGTTTCAGAAAATGGCTAATTTAAGCATGCATGAGCGAAAATTTCTTTTATGGAAATTTGCAAATTCATTTTAGTTGATCTATGTTCTTATTTTTTTGCTAGTTCAATTTTTACTAGCATTTTTTACTTCATTATATTATTTTTTAATTAAAGATACCAAGAAAAATCAGTTTGCTTTTACAATTTTTAAATTACTAGTTTTTTATTTGGGGATCTTGCAGGTAAGAAATTTTCTTTTAACCTTCATGCTTTCCAAGATCGCAGACTAGTTTTTACACTCTTTTGTGAAAGGAAAATAGTTTTAAAAGGATAAATATTTTCCGAAATTTGCTTGTTTGAAAAAACATCATAAGATGAATAATTACTGCATATTTTTGATAATAAATTCTTATACTTTTGTTAATGATGTTAATTTAACAGATGACTCTTTAAAATAACATATGACTTTCTTGAGAATAAAAGCAAAAGATCTTACTACTACTTAAATTTAAATAATAATCAATAAAAATATGGGAAGTGACAACTGTTCATTTTGTAATAAATGCGTGCAAAACCATAAAGTAATAGTTTGCCAACTGTACTAGAAATGGGTTGCACTGTATTATTGACAATTAACATTTAAAAAATGAAAGAATGTAAATAAATTTGATGTATTTGTTTTCTATAATTTTATATGACTGCTTAATTTTATAATGTCTTAATATAAAAAAAAATTAAAACTTTCTTTTTGTTGCAGAAATTTGAAATTCAAAACACTCATATAGGTAAATATATATTGTATCTAAATTAAATATTATGTATAATTTGAATGTTTTTTCTTGCAATATTATTCTAACTTAAAAAATAATTTTGAAAAATAATAATGCTGAGTGTCATAGCTGAACTATTTAAAGCCTTAGTATATATAGATAAAGAATTCCTATTATCTTTCAAAATTTGTTGTTTTTTAATAGGTATTAACCCTTAATAGTCTGAAAGTCTTTCAAGATAACTTTCCACATAGTTATAATGATACATTTTAATTATAAACTATAATAGTTAATTCTTATTGATTATAACAAAATTAAATGCAAATATGACAACGATAAATGTAATAAAAAATAAAATAATTTTTGCCACCATGTGTGCAACATTGGACTCTTCAACATTTGTAAGCTTTAATAATACTGATGTTTGACACCTTTGCTGTGTTTCAAGTTTGCAACATAAATTTGTAAACATAAATACCATTTTCTTAGAAAAAAACTAAAATTAAAAAGAAACTATATGAGATAAATACAAAGTATATTCCGTAATATCAAAAAGACGAGCCTAATGTCTGTAAGTGTTTTATCAAAAGTAAAAAAATTTGTTAAATCAAAATTTGTGTTTCAACAATAAAGAAAGTGCTTCATCATAATGCGAAAATAAATATATGACATTATTTGTGCTTTTTTTACTCATTATTTTAATTATATTTTTTATTTTGAAGTATACAAATATTTAATATTTATGTTTGTTATATTTAAGTTATTCACTACAACATAATTTTTTTTCATACTGAAGATCTTGATAATATTTTACTTCCATAATACTAATAAAATTTCTTATTGAGCTCAAACCACTATATTAAAACTATTTGTTTTTGATTAATCAGTTATATAAACCTTTTTTAAAATAATTTGTAAAATCTCTATAGTAAATCATTTTAGATTAAAAAAATATATATCAAATAAAAAATTTCATTTCAGAAAATTATTATAAAAGACGAGAATCTTCTCTTGATACTGTGGTTAAGTATGTTCTTAATGAAGAAAAAGATACTGCTCTTATTTGCCAATTCTGTAATTGCCACAATGGATTAGCATTGGAAGAAGATTATGAATGTACAAGTAAGTTATTGTTATAATAAATATAGATAGGTCTTTGTCTAAGATATCATTCTATTCATTATACTGTATTGCATATTAAGTTCTTTCATCTTGTTTCACAACTAGGCTTTACATTACTTAAATGAATTTTGCTAGTAGCATTGCCGTAATGAGTAGAGTAGAATTTGTTTATTATGTACCTTGATTTAACAAGATATTAGGTTAAACAGGGAAATTTTATCATAAATTGTTGCTTTAATGTTAAAATAAAACCTGTATAAAGCTTTATTATTACGAGTATAATTTTGATTTTAAGAGGCTCATTTAATAAACTACCACTTATACAGATAGAACCTTCTCTAGAAGTTTGTAAATCACTTTAAGTTTATGATATCAGTTTTTATGTTTCAACTACTAATTAAAGATGAATGGAAATAACTGTTTATATGCATTTTTTCACAAAAAATGACAATTGGATTGGCAGCTGTTGCATTTTGAGGATTACTAACTTTTGACAAATAGTTCCCTCCAAGAGTTATTAGTCTGCAAAGATAAGTCGTACTGAAGGATGAACCGTCTCATATAGCGTAAAATCATCCACTGGATGTCTAATAGCCATCAATTTTAACATCCACCATGATCCATGTGGTTGCCATAAGGATGTCCATTAGACAGTCATTTATAATGCATGGAAATTCCAATGGAAATCCACCAGATGTCTGATGGACGACTACCTAAATCTAATCGTGGATGGCTAGGAGACAAAAAAGGTGCATACACATTGTGAATCATCTAGGATCTACCATCTTAGGCTTAACAAATAAAATTAAATTTATTTAAATTTAAAAATAAGTTTTTCATTCAGGTATTACGATTATAAATATCTAAGCCTATGCTAAGAATTGGCCTGAAAGCATTTTGAAATGGAATGTCAATGTCTTACAATATGGTCAAACAAATTAAAAGTTTTCTGGATGAAAAAGCACACATTTTTAAAGATTTTTAAATATTTACGTCTAGAAACTACCATAAACAAATATTTAAAAATATACTTCTAACAATACTATGGAAAAAAATAATTTGATACAAAATTATAAATATACATTTTGACTGTTAAAATAAACAAGATCTATCGTTGTGAAAAATAGCTGTTAAATCAATCTGTATAACTAAAGAAAATATTAGCTGGCAATAGAGAAAACTAAATCTTAAAATAGAGCACTCTAAAATAAGTTGAGAATAGAAAAGTTTGAAAGACATAATTACTAACTTTTCTGTTTACATCAGCATTGGGCAGTTTTATTTATTCCTCATTGTTGCTGTGAAATGACGGCCAAATGATCTTTGAAGAATACATATTTTCATACACTCAAAAATAAATTGTGGAGCACATACTGTTATTTTAATGCCTCTCATTTTCGAATCTTTTAAGATTAAAATTCCATTAAGAGAAAAATATTACACAAAGTGATACTGCACAACTTATTTTGATGGATAAATTTCTCATCTCAATGAATATAATTTTGTTAGATCAGAATCTAACAGAATTATATTCATACCTGCCAACTCATCTGAATTTTCCAGAAGATTTTATTTTTGTATTCAGTGTAATAGCAAAAATTTTGATTTCCTGCTTGATTCTTGTTTTCAATATCAATTTAATATATTTTTAGCTACCAATACATTTCAATTGTTTAAACATACATAAAGTGGGCCAGCTTTTTATCTTAATCTATTTTAAGTGATGGCAAAAGGTGGATTAAATATTTGCCTACTATATAACTTCTTTAGTTATTTCACTTCTACTGGGAAAAGGCTTTTTTGAAACATGCAAAAGTGGTAGGCATGTATATCATTTTTAATCTAAGCCAATAACAAAATTAATGTTTATTAGCAATCACAAATTTAGTCTTAAAGAAGGTCTAAGTTTTTATGGGAATGCTATCTTGTTTGGTGTATGCAAAATCACATTTCAGCTTGCCTTGGGTTGCTACAAATTATCTATCGCTTCATAAATTTATATAAAAAATTCTCCGCTTGGTTGAGCTCATTGGTTATTTATAAGATAGATAATTAAATTTATTTTCATACTTCAGGTTTTTGATTTAAATATTAATATTCTCTTTTGCAGCCATTTATAATGTGATTTGTTTCAAGAATTTCTTTCTATACATGATTTATTTTATAGATTTTGTGTTTTATACAAACATACAAGAATATTTTTTTTCTAGGTTTTCGTTGTTGCAGATGCTTTAAACTAAACAAAGCTAGATCAGCAATTACTCCTGCAATTGAAAACTAACAGGAATTAACTTTAGTATGATATTCCCCTCTCAAATATTGTTAAGATGGTTATATATACAATGTGAAGGACTATTTCTAGGTGATAGAAAAAATATGAAATTGTTCTAGTCTCTCTGTTTACATTACTGTTTTACACCACAAATTTATTGATGAGTATTATTTACTCATTTGAGCAAATTTTGTTTGGATTTAATTATTTATAAAACGTTACATAAACATATGAAATGCCAGTTGCATTTGTATATCTTAAATGATAAAATGGTATATTTTGCTAACACATTTAGATCAATGTTTAATAACTTGAACCTTCTGAAAAATAAGCAACTGGACAAGTTTGTATGAAAGTTTTCTTTATATACACCATTTTAATATAGGAAGAACCAATTTGTTTTTTCAGTACGGCAGCTAAGTTAAATGGCAAGAATTTTCATGCCATATGCTCAGACACTAAGACTACATTTTAATGATTGAAAACCATTAAAATAATCTATTTCGATTATATTAGTGATGTAGCTTCATAACAGAAGCATAAAATCTAATATGCGAACATTATTATTTTTTCTTTATGGTAAATTTTTACTAATACTACTTTTGTTAGATTTAAGTATTTTATTAGTACTTTTATAAACTAAGTTTTTTTGCTAGAACTTTAATGTCTGTGAGAATGTTTTTGGTGTATAAGTACCAATTTTTAAAATTTTAATACAAATTGGTGGCTTTTCAAACCAAAAATATATCCATTTACAAATAACATTCACCTCTCAAAAAACACTTTTTATATTTTCTTTATCATTAAACAAAATATGTAAGGTACAATGAAATAAGGAAAATCTATTCTTTTCATTAATCAAGCAAATCATCCACAAAAATTTGATTTTAAAAACAGGAGGTGATGATTTTATTTTATTAAAGTACTTTAATATTGATCCCTTTTTTGCAAATTTGATATGAAAAAGTTGTATGAGCCCTGTTATACATCAGTAATTTTTAGAAGAAGAGTTGTGGACTACATTAACAATTTTAACAAAAAGTTATTTCCGTAGCAAAAATAATTTTAGAGGCTTAATGCACTCACACACTGACAAGAGAGTGGGACCATATGCTAATTATGATTCAATCAGAATAATAATTAAAAGAGTTGCATTAAATGAAAAGGTGCTTAGCGCTAAATAATATCACCATAAAATAAATTCTTACCAAACATAACCGCCGGGTTTGAAATATTAATTTCAATTAATGTTAATCAAATAGAGACAGAAAAAAGCAATTTTTAAAATTCTAAGTAGTTTTCGTACAATTAAAATTATGCAATGAAAATATCTTTAAAAATCTTCCAAATTTGTAATAAAATTGCATCCAATGAACAAATAATAGTTTAAATTTTTCAAACATTAATTCATTCAACATTGATTAATTCTCAATTGGTTAGACAGCAATTTTTGAAATTGTTCTTTAGAACACACCATTTTTTGTTTTACTGACAAAACTTATTCATAGTTATCTGTTCCATGAAACACAGCAGTAATTCTGCCTAACAATCACTTGCAGGTAGAAAGATTTTTTTCCTTGATTACAGTGAACCGATCATGAAGTGAAGACACAGTTCCCTGTAGAACACTAAAGTCAAGCATGACTAAATGCAGTCAGTGAGTGAATTAGCACTTTAAAAGCCTGCATAGGGACCGTTAGTGCATGGTATCGGTCCTTATTAAACTCTTCTACCGTAAAGTGCTTAACTTTGCGCATCGGTCGCTGGGTTACAAAAGCAGGGGAGCCATCCCCTCTGCAGAAAATGTGATGGCATGATGGCTTCTGATCATCCTCAGAAATTTTTCCCAGACCATCGCCAATAGCCCATTTAGCAGCTCTAGTGGGACATAAATAAAGTACTACTTCTTCTTTGATTACAACCATGTCAACAATTTTTAAATTTTCATTCACAAACATTCATTTGGTTCTATGAATCAATGTTCTCAAATAATTATTAGTCCAATTTATCCTTATATTCTGAATCATTTGAGTAGTTTTTGTCACAAATTAAACTTATTATTATGTAATTCTGTTAAGTTAGGTTCAACAATTGCATCAATTGGTCGGCCTGTGTGAAAGTGACTGAGTGTTAACACATATAAGTCCTCATTATTGGAAGTTAATGGTCTATGAGGGCAAATATTCCAAATTTCCTCTACTTGAATAATAATGGTAAAAAATTCTTCATATGTTAGTATCGAATTTTCTTTTTCTATCTTTTACTTGAAGTGAAGTTTTAAGGGTTTTACTCCTTCTAATAGACCATTAAAATTTGGTGCTCTCAGGAGTATAAATTTTTATAGTTTCGAAACTGTATGTTTAGTTTCAGAATTTGAATTTACATATTTTTTTACATTATGGTTAATAACAAATTTGTGTTTACCTCGCCGGGCGAAAATCCTTTTTAAACAAGCAATATATGCATTTGCGATTTAGCCGTTAACAATCTCTTGGTTAATTGCCTTTATTTCTGAACAAACAAATATGCAATCATATATTTTTGATAGTTACCTTTACCTGGCCCCTTATATTTAATAAAAAATGGGCCTAAATAATCAATTAAAATAACAATGAAATGTGAAGTTAACATTTATTCTTTCACTTGATAATTCATCCATTATTTGTTGGAAAATAATTGAATTTGCTTTGCAACAAATAATGCATTTGTAAATAATCTTTCTAGATATTGTTCTGCCTGTAAACTTGTCTAACATCATTTAATAATGCTTGTGAACCATTATGAAATTCTTTTATGTGATAATAAATAAGTTTAGTTATCTTATTCTTAGATAGCAAAATAATAGGATGTTTTTGATTAATGCTTAAGTTTTTTTTTTCTACCTCCTAATCTAGTTAAACCTTTTTTTACTGCCCCCATTTAGAAAATTAAGACCTGTCCATTAGATCCCAGAGTTTTAACATTTCTGGAAATGATATCTGCAGGGTTAAATTCTGAATACACATATCTCCAGTTGTAGTTTGTAGAAAGTTGTTGAATTTGTGAGACTCAATTACTCACAAAGGTTTTTAAAAGATGAGGTGAAGTATTTATCCAAGTTAACGCAATGGTTGAATCTAACCAGAGCTTGTGTGATCAAATTTGAGTTTCTTAGCCTGAATAAATTGTTTCACGAATTTTGTTTTGAAAGGAGTAAATGCACTAATAGTTCAAATCTAAGTATGGTTATAATCTTGATTGGTGCCATACATGACTTGCTGCATAAAAGCTGGCTGAAAGACTTATCTATTGATTAGATGGTTGATTATTATAAAGATTGATTATTTTGTAAACGTCTGTAGGTAAATTGCAGCTTTTTCTTTCCAGATGCTTTTTCTAAGGCATCTGCAAAATCATGAACAACGAGTATCGAAAGTCTTTTACCACATAGCAAGGTACTTGATTAAAGAAGAATTGTAGCCAATTTTTTTTATAAAATTAATTGTACTATTATTTTAAACGTGATTTTGAAAAAAGAATGTGTTAAATTTATTTCCTATATTATGCTTTTACTTGGAATCTCAACTATAGCTTAAAATAAATAATTTTTAATAAATAACATTATCATAGTATTTACGATATGGTTTTGTTCATTTTTATTCAATGGTGATTGACATTTTGAGCTATTAATTGTCCAATTTTTTTATTTAGAAATACTGACGTATTTATATATTGTAATTGTTGAACGATAGGCACTCTGGAAAAAATTGAGCATAATTTTCCATACAATCATTTACTAAAAACATTCACAATTAATTTTTATAAATTTAAAAATTTAGTGCATATTTTTTTTTCCTTTTTAACAAACTTTTATACTTTTTTGTAGACCTATCCTTTTATCCTGCCTTGTATTGTTAAAATGTAGATATTTCAATGTAGAGTATTTTTCTTTGTCACAGAGTGGTTAGTTTAAAAGTTTTTTGTATATATGTTCAGTTTAACCTGAACAGTATTATTTACAAATTGTATGTATATGCCATTCAAGGTGACAATATTCATAAATAGCCCAGTGGTTAATTAAAATGTGTCTACACCACCTAAACAAATGCATGTAACAAAATTGTTTTCTGATATATCTCAGTATTTTGAGTGTTCTATTTCCAAATTATGTAATTTTATATGTGGTGGTTAATAAGTATTATACAGGAGTGATTAAGTTTTCAAAAAGCCGGAAATTTCAATGATTTCTATTTTTGAGCCTCCGAGGTTTCAGAACTTTTTGAATTTTATTTTGAAGTAAATTATCATAACATATGATTATATTAATGTAACAAAAAGAGTTCATTTTCCGGTGATTTTTTTATTTCTAGTCTCATAATCACCATTAAGAGATTTTAGAAAATATTTTTGGTCATATAACTACAATCATTGTATTTAAAAATAATTGGAACAAATTTTTGAAATTCATTTTTTGATTTAATATTTGGAAGTTTAATTTACTTTAATAATTTTAATGAGTTATATCTGAAAGATATGCTTCATTTATTTTAAAGTGCATAAGTTGTTTATTATTTTATCTTAATATTATTCGTTTTTTATGTTCAAATACTATACACCATTCTGTATTAAAGAAATGTACAAGTTTTTCTCTTAAAATGAATTTGTTTCACCATTAATATTTCGTTTACATAATTAATGAATCATAAGTGCATCATACTTAAATTACTTTTCCATTTCTACCTTGAGTTTTTGTTGACTTTTTTTCTAAAAATATTGCTATTGAAACAAATAATTTTTGAATACAAAACCCAACATATGTGAAAAGATAGAATTTTTTTTAAGTTTTGTTCAATTTTCATAAAAACTATATGGGTTTTAAAAATATAAAGATATAACTTGTTTAACCTATACTTTGCCCCTTATATTTAATCAAAAATGGGCCATAATAACCAATAGAATAACAATTAAATGTAAAGTTAACATTTATTCTTTCACAAGATAATTCACTCATTATTTGTTGGGGAATTATTAGGTTTGCTTTGCAACAAATAAGGCATGTCTAAGCGATCTTTCTAGATGTTTTTCTGCCTATAAGTTTATCTAACAGCATTTAATAATGCTTGTGGACCATTATGAAAGTCTCATGTGATAATAAATAAGTTAAGTCTTATTCTTAGATAGCAAAATAATAGGATACTTTTGATTAATGCTTAACTTGTTTAACCTTATATTTTATATGTAAACTTGTTTTACTTTATCAGTTAAGTTAATTTCAGTTAGCTGACCTTAATTCTGAAATAGGGACAAATCATTTAATGTTATAATTTGTGTGCATTTTTTTTTGTTTGTTTATGCTGCATAAAAATAAAAACATAAAAAGATTGTTAATGAATCCTATACTACATAATTTTCCTTTATTCTTTGAACAGATTTTTTCAGCTGTTTATTTTGCTCAGCTTATAAAATATTTTAATATCTAACACTAAAGCTAACTGCCAATATTTAAAAACAAAAATTAAGAAGCATTATATGAGTGTATGTCATATTTTAAAGTTAGCTACAGAGTTTAGTAGTGCAAGTGTTCCATTGAATTTCAATTTTGAAACAATTACCTTACTATTACTCCAAATATTTTTAAAATTTCATGAAAATGATTGTGAAATCTCCGTTGCTAACAAATATCTTTAAAAAAAACTGCTTGGTTAAATCACCGGTCAACTTTTTCCTTGTGTATTGAGGAAAAAGAATTAAATTTTGAGTATTAATGTAAAGTTATATTATAAATAAGTTTGCTGAATTTCATTTCAATTATTACAACCTACTTATAGAACTTTTGTATGATGCCTGAAGTTTGGAAACTTATTTTTTAACTGCAATTAATGTGCTGTGGATTGATACCTTTATGAATTCACAACAAAAATAAAATAAATTATTGACGCTACTACTATAGTATAGTTTTGCTCATGAGATTTTTAAAAAAATTCAAAAATTTTGTGAACATGAAAAAAAATTCAAAAATTATCAGAAACATTTTTTCAAGTAACATAAAACAATTTACAATATTTTTAAAAAGAGTTTCAAAGTGTATTTTTCTCTAAACACGAATTGCTAACATTTTGAAAATTAGTTTTTTACAAGAATGTTGGCAAACTATCTTCTGTTGATTGTATATTTGTACACAATTACTTAAAAATCTAAGAATTTGTATATTTTTCAACATTTGTTGAATTGGTATTAAAATCTAAAATATTTCAAAGAAATTTGGTTAGCTGTTATCTATGATGGTTTTTTATTGTTATACTTTATTGGTATTATAATCTATTGATTATATTACACTTGATAAATATTTTTATGGAACAAAGGGTTTTTACCTAAGATTCATTTACACATTGAATTGTTTTGATATTTTAAAAATAGATATAAATTTAATATTTTAATCTTTCAACATATTGACTTCCATTGCTATTTATTTTTTGTAACTTCAATTGCAACAACCATTATTTGTAAAGGTATTGCAGAATGTCTTTCATTACATTTTGATTTATCAGTCTTGCACTTTGCAAGAATTTAATTTCAGAGAGTCCAGAAATTTCCAGGTTTAAAAGATTTTACATTTTTTTTTTAAATTATAAAAGTTAAAATCAAATTAAAAATGCCTCAATGTATCTGTTATTTTACATGAAGTCTTTATTTTGGTGACAAAATGTATCTCCATACATATTAGAAATGTTTTTACGATTAATATTTTTTTCTTTCCAAATTAATCACTCCAATGGAAATGACCACTTAATCATGGTCTTTGTAACCCAAATTTAAAAAATTTGAAGAAAAAAAATGTCAAAAGTAATTTTTTTGAAAATTAACTTTTTCTAAATTAAGTTTAAGGCCATAACTTTTTAAAAAAATATTTAACATCATTTGTAGCAGGCTTTTTAAATTTAATACATTCAAATAGATATTTCCTTAAAATTAATTTCATTTCCTTTATAAAATTAGTTTTATCAGTATTTATTTTTTATTTTAATGTGCTTGATTTTTTTCAGTGTTTAGAATGATATACTGGTTTTAAAAATTATTTTATTGTGCAGTTTCTATTTATTTACCTTCTTTCTGATTTGGCCATTTGTGTTAAATTATTTCTCTTGCAAATTTTCCTTAGGTTACATGTGCTTTCCCAAAGTTTGTTTTTGATTTATTGTATTTATTATATAAACATTATAGGACTCTAGAATATTCAGCTTTTTTAAATTTTTATCTTTAAAAACTTTGTTATCTTGTATATTTACAACTGTGATTAAAATATGTATTTTTATATGTATTCTGTTAAACAAATATTTTATATTTTACTAATTGATTATTTGGTTGAATAAAAGTCTATCTTTGGTAATAAATCATTATTCAGTTCAGATTTTTTCTTCACTGAAATTTTAAATTTTGAAATTCATTTAAATCTCATTATAACTAAAATAAGATTTATCTTGTTATTTAAAAAAAAAACTTTTTGACAATTTCTCCGCATTTTAAAAATTGCATGTTATAAAGATAGCATTAGTTCAAGCCCAATTTGTTTCTGAAGATACTCAACAAAAGCATGAATTTCTAGCAAAATGTTGAGTCAAATTTGGCATAGCTCACTAAAATTACATTATATTCGCTCTTTTTAATGAAAAAAATACCTTTTTAATTGTATTATCTTTAAACAGAATTTCTAAAGTATCCCATTGAAATAACTTTTTTATATTAAATTTAATAGACTTCTCAAAATTGATGCACAGCTTTCTAAGATACTTTGATCTTTTCCATAGGGCTCACATTTGTAGCATAACATAAAGTAGATAATATGGTTTCCCTTTGTGTATAAACTAGTGGTTCAAAGAGTCTCACTTTAAAGTTAAAGATAACTCATAGAGTCATGGTAAAAATTTACAAATATGCAAATTTTAACAAGGTGTTTTTATTTAATGTCTAAGGATACCTTGAAAGAGTGAATCAAGATTCACAAAAGATGCTGAACATCAAGGATCCTTATGGAGTCTATTTCTATTGTAGAAATTCTCATGCTACAAGTTGGGCGAGATTGTTAATAAAATATGAAAATGAAGTAGAATAAGAAAATCTAGTTTTTTGAAGGACACACATTACAATTTACATTGTTATATTCAATTAAAAAGGAAATTGTACAGGCTTTGTAGTGTTTCAAAATAAAAATCAGGACAACATTTTGCAAAAAAAAATAAAGAATTTTTTTACAATACAAGCATACTAGATTATTTTTAAGACGGGGAAATGAAGAGATAAAATAGTGTAATCCACTGATTAGAAAATATTGTTTTGTGTGGCATATTTCTTTAATTCTTTACAACATAAAAAAAAGAGAAAAACAATATGGGTAACAATCAACATTTTCAAATAAAAAATTAAGATAAGAACAAGTTGATCAGAAATGATATAAGAAAACGGTAAAATGTCCTGAATGCCTTACGCACGGTGACAAATCTTGGAACCCGACTTTTCTGGACTTCGGAAACAGATTTCTTAATATAAAGATAGATTAAAATAAGTTAAAAAGAAAACTGATAATTATAGTTATTTTCTTACAGCAATAAATTACTTCAGAAC